AAAAGTTACTCAGGATTATGTCCTTGACAACATAGGTCAAGGTCAACATCATTGGAGCTGGGTCCGTTATAGTAAATAATTACCTTCTAAACTTCTAACAATAAAAAGGAGGCAAAAAAACTTGCTTTGTTTGGATTTTGATCATATAATTTTCCTCTAGGAAAATTCTGGGAACATCCACACGATCGCTGCTCTGATTGGTAAATCAAACGCTCCGAAGTTCCTAACCAAGTGGGATGCAGGTCAAGATAGGTAATTGATATTCTCATCTTATCGTTATCCATTACCTATGACATAAGGCATAAGATATAAGATGATGCGCGCTATTGTGATTTACGGTTAACTAGTTGTACATGTATTTTACACATTTGATATTTTTGTATGTTACTTATATCAGCGATATTCCCCGTATTTCGTAATATCTTTTTTTTCAATAAATCGCGGAAGTTATCACGGAAGATTATTTCTGGAATATTCTCAGTCCTCGCGAAGTAATTGCGAAAATTCGTCGAATTAATACGAGATGAGAAACGATCGTGAACTGCGCCGGTTGGTACTTTGTTTTGCGACAACTGTCATTCTCCGATAAACATACGTGACGAAGCATCCAAGGTATCGTGGTATCTGATATTGATGTTTATGATATACATTATACATCAAACGAACAGCGAACTGATTTGTTTACTGGCCGATAAATCAAAGAAAATTTTACAAATCTATATACATCAAAGAAATGCCGAACATTGCGTTCTTTGTTCGTTTGCTTAATGTATATCCATTACTTGTAGGAGAGAGTATGCCATTAATTTATATATATATACACACAAATTATATATAATATTATTTAAAATTGAGGATTGAGAATTTTGAAGAGGAAGAAGAAATATCCGCGATGAACGAGAATGAAAATACGGAGAGACAACTTACATGCAACACGCGTTCCAATCTTTCAAATGAGACACTTTTCTATGCTGTGTATGTACCACTGGAATACAAAAACTGGTCGGATGAAAAAGGTAATTGATACAGCATTGATTATTAATTATAATTTTCTAGCGAAGCTCTCTCTTTTGTATAAATCTAAATATTGATTCTTTCAAAAAGACAAAAAGTTAATTCTTTTGCATTATACAATTTTAATTATTATCATTATTATTAGTATTGTATTGTTAAATGTTATTCTCTCTCTCTCTCTCTTGCAGAAGTCTTTCATGTTTACCTAGATATGCAGACTGCTTTAAAAGTGATAAAAAATTACAAGAAGGGTCGTTTGAAAATCTTTAAGAATTATTCCGATGCTGTGGCATATGAAAAAACTGGATATGAACAATCTTCTGACAATTATTCTACAGTTTTACCTACCATCTCTGTGACGCAAGAGAAATCTAGTAATTTTAAAGCACCAGAAACACAGGAGCTTCAGGCCTTTAAAAGATTAATTAAGAATGGAGATTTGGAATGTGTGAGGAAAACTGCATGGAAAAACCCGAGATATCTAATTAGTAATGGGGATACACCTGCAATTTTACAGGCAAATATATTTACAACTACATTTTTAAATATTGTATAATCAAATATGTGCACTGAAGCCAATTCACAATTATAATTATTTAGATAATTTTATGTTGGAGTTATCTAATTATTTGTATAGTAAATCTTCTATATTTTCTTATAGGAAACAACTCTTATGTTTTAGATGGGTTATCGCTATAATGCTCTGCATATAGCAGCGAACCAGAACAAGCCAGAAATGTGCGAATTTATATTGAATACTGTTGGAGATCCTAAGTTTATGCAACGGCATTACGGGGAAGAGGAATGTAAAAAAATGTATTTAAACCCTGCACAGATTATGCAGGATTTATACTTAAATACACCTGACAAAGGACTCAATGAGACTCCGTTGCATTTTGCTGTTAAATATGGTTATATAGACGTAGTTCGAGTTCTCGTTTCCTATTCTCAATGCATTAAAACTTTACCAAACAAATATCAAAAGCTGCCTATAGATGTATGTTTCGAATTTATTTTTTGTTTAATGCTTTTTATCTTTATATGTATATATATATACAT